ACAGGTGAGTTCAGAGGGTGACGGCCCAGCCCAGGCACCGCTTGGCTTTTAGGAGAGAGCTCTGTCGCTCTCGGGTGCGTGTAAAAGCCGTCCAAAAGGACCGCGGGGCGGGGGCTGAGCCGTGCGCGACTGCCCTGCTCCACAGGGATCGCCGGCACAAAGACCGCGACCGGGACAGGAGCAAGAAGGACCGCGACCGGGACAAAGATGGGCACCGGCGGGATAAGGACAGGAAGCGATCTAGGTGAGCGCTCGCTCTTCTCTCAACGTCTCTGTCTATGTGTCTGCGCTCTCGTCTCCCGCCCAGCTTTTCTGTGAGCGTGTGTAGGGGACCGAGCCTGGAAACGCAGCTGTTGCTGGGGTGGAGCACAGTGACGCTTCGGGAGCGTGTGGCTCTGTAGGAATCGTTATTCTGGGCCCTAGCGAGAGAAGGGACTGGGTGACGATGGGATTACGCTCGGTGCCTGATTCTCCTTTGTTTTGCTCGGAAGCTTGTCCCCAAGCAGGGGCAAGGATTCGAAGTCCCGGAAGGATCGGGACTCACGGAAGGTGGAGGAGGAAGATGAGAACGCGCTAAAGAAGGAGAAGGTAAACGGGGGGAGGCTGGGCTGGGAACAGTTCCTGGGGGGCTGCTACTGCCTCTGGCAGGGCAGGGGATGCCCACTGGGAGCGTTCGGGGCTGCTAACGGTCCGGCCCTACGTTTGCAGGCTCAGCCTCTGTCCCTGGAGGAGCTACTGGCCAAGAAGAAGGCTGAAGAAGAGGCAGAAGCCAAGGTAAGAGCAGGGACCCTTTCCCTGCTTTGGGGGTCTCCCTTCTCCCTGCTGCAAGGGGCCTGAGCGGCCCCCACATGGGAACGAGTGTGAGGCCTCCCTCCCTGCATGGCCTCAGCACCCCTTGTCCACAGCAGCTGTAACATGGGGATATTCCTGTCCTGCTGGACGCTGCTCCCTGCCTGGGGCAGCCCCGGGGTCGGTGCGGCTAGGGGGTTGCAGCCAGCTGTGGTACAAACTTGCCTCTCTTGTCCCAGCCCAAATTCCTGTCCAAAGCGGAGCGGGAGGCCGAGGCCTTGCGGCGGCGGCAGCAGGAGGTAGAGGAACGGCAGCGGCTGCTGGAGGAGGAGAGGAAGAAGCGGAAGCAGTTCCAGGAGATGGGGAGGAAGATGCTGGGTAAGGTGTTGCCCCTACTGCGGCCTGCCTGGCTGCGAGGGGCTGGAGCAGACCCCCCTCCCAGCCCTGCTGGGGAGGGCTCGGCTCTGATACCCTTTCCCGACTTCCCCAGAAGACCCCCAGGAGCGTGAGCGCAGGGAGCGCCGTGAGCGCATGGAGCGGGAAACCAATGGCACGGAGGACGAGGAAGGCAGGCAGAAGATCCGGGAGGAGAAAGACAAGAGCAAAGAGCTCCACGCCATCAAGGTGCCAGTGGCTGCAGACCCCCTGGACTGGGGCAGGGGGGTGCCCTGGCCGCCTGGGTCCCCTCTCTGCCGGGGCTGGGGGAAGGGGCTGACGCTCTGCCGCCTGCAGGAGCGGTACCTGGGAGGAGTGAAAAAGCGAAGGCGCACCCGGCACCTGAACGACCGCAAGTTTGTCTTTGAGTGGGACGCGTCAGAGGACACGTCCATCGACTACAACCCCCTGTGAGTGCTGGGGGCACCCCTGGGGCTGGGAGCATGGGGCAGCCCCAGCCCTGCCCCTGACGCTCCCCTCCCGCCATAGGTACAAGGAGAGGCACCAGGTGCAGCTGCTGGGCCGGGGCTTCATCGCGGGGATTGGCCTG